ATTTTATAATTTTATTGTATTTGTTTTTGACAAAAAGAATTATCTGTTTTTAAAAATATACTTGTCGTTTATTTTTTTTGAACAAACGTGATAAAATAAAAAAATCCAAGTTTTTTCTTTTATGAATAATATATGCAAAAGCTCTACAAAATAAATATTTTAAATCAGCGAAGTGAGATCTGTGAAAAATTACGCATATATGTAGAAATCACTCTATATTTAAAAACTTATGAGACATACTATATTACATGTGAAACCACATGAGAAGTAAAAATTTAGTAAAATAAATCGATGATATATAACAGCCTTCTTTTATTTTTTCAAAAACTCCAGATGCAAATTTTATTTATTTATTGATTTATTTATTTATTTTTTGCTATACAATAAGATTTGGAAGTATAAAAATAAATACAATTTTAGATAAAAATAAATATAAAAAAATATAAACATTTATTATAATTAATATAAAAAGGCCTTATTTTAAAATTTTGCCGTAGACCACCATTTGAGCCGCCACTAAGCATTACGTTATATATATTTCACTATCATGCATATATGTATTGTGTTTATAGAAAAAAATAAAAAATAAAAATAAAATAACATCACTATTTTTTGGTTATATAACATGGTCAAACCTAACTCAACAAAATTGAAAAACCCAAATCCAAAGTTAAAACCTTTTTTTTTTATCAGCAAAAAATTTTTTATTGATGAAAAACATACAAAGTATGAAGGATACATCAATAAAGAGGAAGGTGCAAAAAGCATCACAATGGAACCTCATGATCCCAACGAGGTTGGCACCAGGAAGCCCACGAAATCATCTGCTAGCACTACCTCAAGCTTGAAGTTGGAGAGTAACCAACAAAATGAGCAATACAGAGAAAACCAATCCACACAGATCATTAAACTTGGGATGAGATTCCTTAAGAGACCAATAACAGACAGCATAACAGTGTCAAAGCCGCACTGTAGGCAGACCACCCAAGACCAAAATTAGCAGCAGACCCCAGCAGATATCACCTATTGCAAAATCTGATTTGATGTAGATTAAACATAATATCATTTACTGAAAAGGGCAACCCCGAGCATGAAGCTTTGAGCCATATTGCAGTTCTCACTATGATCAATTCACAGAGTTCTTCGAATATGGGATGGGCATTGTTGAAAATACGATCATTCCTTAACTTCCATACTGACCAGAGCACCGCAAACGGAATGATTCTCCAGATCTTCTTTTCTAATTTTTTGAACTTTGATCCTGACCACCAAAGAAGCAATTCATCCACTGATTTTGGTATCGCCCATTGAATACCCCACCATCTCATAATTTTAGACCATACTGACCAAACAAACGGACAATGTAGGAGTACATGGTTGTCTGTTTCCTCCTCCTCATTACAGAACACACACTGTAACCTAGAATAATTTTCCAGAATCCCCATCCTTTGAAGGTAGTTTGAAGTCTTAATCCTTCTTTTCCAAGCAAGCCAGCCAAAGAATTGGACTTTTGGGGGCGCCACATTCTTCCAGATGAGCTCTGTTATCCTGAAAGTAGATCCGAAGGAGGATTCGCACCAATGGTATGCTGATGAGACAGAAAACATTCCTGAAGGGTCTGCCATCCATTTCAGTTTATCCGAGACATTCACCCTTAACTCAGCTGCATTAAGCATCATCCCCTTCAATCTATCTAATTCCTCCATTTCCCATACAAATAAGCTCCTTCTAAACAATGCATACCAATCATGTTGACCAACTCTAGCTCGCACTGAAGACACAGATTCAGATTTGTTCAGAGCCAATAAAAATAGTCTAGGGAACAAAACCTTCAAAGAGGCTGAACCAGCCCAATTATCTAGCCAAAACTTTGCCCTCAAACCATCCCCAAGTTCAATTGTAGTATTCGAATTAAAAAAGCCCAGCACTTCAGGTTTAGAAACTACAATCCCCACAATGTCTTCCCATATTTTAGACATCATTCCACCTCTTACAAGTGCAGGTGACCACTCTTCAGTAGATCCATAGTACTTTTTGCAAATCACATCCTTCCACAGGGATTTCTCTTCTACCCCAAACCTCCACCACCATTTTAATAGTAGACATACATTCATCAGATCAGCTCTTTTCACTCCCAGCCCTCCTTGACTTTTACTAAGGGTAACCTCTCCCCATTTAACCAAATGGATTTTCCTTCTAAGGTTCGATCCTCCCCAAAGAAAAGTTGATTGGATTTTAGCAATCTCCTTTGCTACTCCTGTAGGCATCTTAAATAGAGAGAGATAATATATCGGCAAACTAGACAACACAGCTTTGATAAGTGTTAATCTACCTGCAAAAGAGAGGTACCTTCTTTTCCATGAGGCGAGCTTTAATTTAAACTTTTCAATCATAGGCTGCCAAGTCAACTTTCTACTAGGGCTAGCTCCCAAAGGCATTCCCAAGTACTTCAGAGGTAGATTTTGATAAATGCAGTGTAATTTAGAGGCAAACTCATGACATAGAGTTGACGATATACCCACCCCACATACCACACTTTTATGGTAATTGATTTGCAAGCCCGACATAATTTCAAAGCATCTCAATATTCTCTTAATATTTAAAATCTCCTCCCATTCAGCTTCACAGAACAATATAGTATCATCAGCAAATTGTAAATGCGTGATCCTAAGGTCAGAACCCACCACCGCACCCTTGATCAAACCCAGCTGCTTTGCTCTTTCCAACAATATATTAAGCCCTTCCGCCACAATATTAAATAGAAAAGGTGATAACGGGTCCCCTTGTCTCAGCCCTCTCTGAGGTTTAAATTCAGAAGTTGGAGAACCATTCACCAAAATAGAAATGCAAGCTGAAGTTACACATTCTTTTATCCAACTCACCCATTTAGCCCCAAACCCAAAGTTTGATAGCATTGAGAATAAAAATCCCCAATTTACTGAATCATATGCTTTTTCAAAATCAAGCTTCAGTATTACCCCCTTCCTTTTGTCCTTCTTCCACCCATCAACAATCTCATTTGCAATCAATATCCCATCCAGGATATTTCTTCCCCCAATGAAGGCAGACTGTGTAACACTAATTATTCTAGGCATTACTGTCTTCATCCTATTGGAAAGTACTTTTGCAAGAATCTTATACAAGGACCCAATCAGGCTGATGGGCCTATACTCTGCAAGGCTAGAGGGATTATCATTTTTTGGAATCAAAGCTATAAAAGAGCTGTTAATACCGCGAACCAACTTCCCATTCTGGTGAAATTCAGACATAAATTGGAGTACATCACCCTTAATAATATTCCAACATTTTTGGAACATGTTAAAATTAAATCCATCTGGGCCAGGCGCCTTATTGCCCCCACAATTCCTAATTGCTGCCTTCACTTCAGATTCTGAAAAGACTGATTCCAAAAATTCAGAGCTTTGATCTTCTCCAATGGTGTTAAAAGGACCTAGCAGCCCTGGTCTGTTAGACCAAGAATCTGAGAAGTGGTTAATAAAGTAATTTTTCACTTCAGCCCTAACATCTTGAGGATTCTCCACCGCAGAATCATTAATCACAATAGAACATAAGGCATTCCTATTCTTCCTACTACAAGCCATAATGTGGAAAAATTTTGTATTTCTATCACCTTTAATTGCCCAATTCAGCCTTGATTTCTGCATCCACACCCACTCTACCATTTTACTTAGTTGCCATGCTTCCCCTTTAGCCTCCCTTCTTCTAGCAGCCTGAGATGGTGATAATGACCCTTCTTCAGCCATTAAGTCCAGATTATGTAATTCCTCTTCAACTTGTTTTAGCTTGAAACCAACATGACCAAAGACCTCATTATTCCACTGCTTTAATGTGGCTTTTAAAGCTTTCAATTTATACAAGCACTTGAATCCCGCCCAACCATCTACCGGTGTTTCTGCCCAACATTTTTGCACTACCTTCATAAAGCCTGGATGAAGAAGCCATGTATTAATGAATTTGAAGGGTCTAGGACCCCAATCCCTCTCATCCTCCATCAGTAAGATAGGGCTATGATCTGAAAACCTTCTAGGAAGACCCCACAATTTGAAGTTAAAATTACACACCCAATCTGGGCCTGGCGGAAGCCAATACAGTAAATAAATAGTGTCCATTGAGCTGTGACAGTCTGTATGCGAAAAGGCTTTTCATATATTCACACATAAACAATACAGAACAGTATGTACAATATTCACATCCATTCAACTAGGGACTCAACCCTACAGAACAGTACAGAAAACATTCCGTCTGTACAAAACAGTTAAGATAGGGCTATGATCTGAAAACCTTCTAGGAAGACCCCACAATTTGAAATTAAAATTACACACCCAGTCTGTGTTAAGGAGAAATCTGTCTAATCTACTCCATCTTTCCCCATCCTGAGAATTACTCCAGGTGAAATTTCGCCCGAACATTGGTAAGTCAATTAACTCTAATTGGTCAATCATTGCATTGAATTCTCTCATCCCCCTATCCATTCTAGAGCACCCTTTTCTTTCTGAAATTCTCCGGATCTCATTGAAATCCCCCCCCACACACCAAGGATTTGGGAAAACAGATTTCATTTTTAACAGAATATCCCATACCTCCTTCCTTTTAATTGCATCATTAGGACCATATACATTCACCACTACACACTGAAAACTATAATAAAGCGTACCTGATAGGAGAATAAAGTGTTTATTGCAGCAACATTCTTTAATTTGAAACACTTCTGGATTCCATACACAAAGTAAACCTCCAGCAGCTCCTGTTGAGTCCACGGCCATAAAGTCCATCATCTCTCCAGCCCAAATTGACCAAGCTAACTTTTCATTACTCACAGATTTCTTAGTCTCTTGCAGCAACACCATGTCAACTTTATTGTCCAGGAGCACCTTTTTTTTCCTCCTCCTTTTAATTGACTTTCCCAATCCCCTCACATTCCAAGATAATAGCTTCATTACAAAATGTCCATAACTCCTTATACCTCCTAGGGATGCTATTCAGTTAGCATTGCCCTCCCTCTCCTTCAGCTTTACAATATCTCTCTCTTCCAACTCCATTAACTTGCTTATAATCTCCTCCTCTTTACCTGTGCAGTCCATCCCGAGGACCTTACTAAGCTGCAGGTTTGTTGTAGCTTCATTTAGTTTGCTTATAATCTCCTCTTCCTGACCAATACCGTCCATCCCAAGGACTTTGCTGAGCTGCGCATTTGTTTCAGCCTCATTGAGTACTCTTCTTCTTGATTCACTTGACATGGAAAGTGAAATTGCTGCTACTGCTGACCTGAAAACCGCCCCTTTCTTCAAATTCATCGACATTTCTTTCCTATTTTTTCCAAATTGAAGGCTGCCCTTCTCGTTGAAATAGTGACCTGAAACCCTTTTCCACTAATCACAATAGAACATAAGGCATTCCTATTCTTCCTACTACAAGCCATAATGTGGAAAAATTTTGTATTTCTATCACCTTTAATTGCCCAATTCAGCCTTGATTTCTGCATCCACACCCACTCTACCATTTTACTTAGTTGCCATGCTTCCCCTTTAGCCTCCCTTCTTCTAGCA